AAGTTTGGAGGCAGCTTTTCAAAGGAAAAGCTCTCACAGTGCAGCTGGGTCCATAGTTTAGGGGAATTAGGCTTATGCATAGTCCAGGTGTACAAAAAGGGGGATTAGGATTTCGGCTCCAAGCATTACCCGGCAACAGCCTCAGGAGGCCTAGATGCAAAAAGGCTTTTGGCTCCATTGTTTGCAGAGGTCTAAAGACCTCATGACATTATGACTGTGGCAATGCATGGCAGCTTGATGAGGCGTTTCAGGGATACCATCGCAGAATGTTGGAGCCCCCCTTGCACAGAGGGCCGTTCTGAAGTCTTAGCCGGAAACTCTCAGAATCAGAATCAACCCTGGCTGAGGAGCATCTCTTTGTGGGTGGGGATCTTCTGTGCTTTGGGCTTGGAGGACGCTCAGGTTTTGATGATGTGTGTCTGGCAAGTTCTTCCCGAAAAGCCGTCAATTACCATCAAAGTCCATGTAAGCTGGGGGAACTATAGCGAGGTCATACTGCGTCACCCAAAATGTGACCAGGCAGGCGATCCGAAAGGCCGGGAAGCCACAGTGATCAAGAAAAGAAGGCCATTGTTCTACGAAGTTCCAGGCACCAGCCCAGCCGTACCTTTAAAGCCTGAGTTCTCAGATACGCAGCTCACACAGCTACCGTGGAGACAGAAGACATACCTGCAGCAGATCCGGTGAAACTCATGCGCAACCAGCCGCTCTTGTGTCCAACTTTTGTGCGCCTTGCGCACGGCTATGAGACGGATGCCGATGTTGACGCCGCCTGCAGCCAGGCAAACAGACCACCAACACTTCTTCAAATCAATCCTGCTACTAGTGCTGCTCGACTAGGTCTGCTGCAACCACGACTGCTGCACCAGGCGCCACGCCTCTCATCACACGCTTTGCACTCCCTGTGAGGAAGAGCGCGTTCCGACATTTGGCTCTTCCTTCCACAACATGGGAGGCCGCCTCTATGTGACAAAAATCTCGTCCTGAAAGCGGTGGTAGGGTTCCTATAAGGGTATTCTGAGGGCATTATGGACGGGTGCTGTACAGAGCTCGATGCCCAGCGGTGGCGAGCAGAATTCAGATCGCCATGGCGACCTACGGAATAGATAGAGAAAGCGATTCCAAAGGGTCCATGTGCCCGAGTACCTGTTTGGGCACATGGACCCTTAGTAGGGAATTAGTTTGAAGGCATTGCAGAGCCCTTATTATTGACAGATTGAAGCGTTGTAGTGTTTTAGACGGGGTCATCTGAGAAGAGCTGAGCCCGAGGCTGTTTGAGTCTGTAACGGGGAGCTTCATCTGTGCTACGTGTCTGTGTTGCAAAGGCGAAGCCTAATCTCACAATCTCTGACGAGGAACTGTACTTTTCAACTTCATGTTCGTCTCCACTTTGCCTTCGTGGGTGTGCGAGAAGAAACCGCACGTTCGGCCCATGAGGACATGCCAGCTTAGGGAGGAGTTGTGCGTTTCAAAAGCGTTGCCCATGAATTGGTTGTTCACCTGAAAAGCCTCAAGTGGTTTAGTCCGGCCTTAGCGCTGCAAGTCCCGAGCTCTTCGATCCAATTACACGCAACTAACAGATCTGAGCACATGTGTTCTTTACTCGGTAAACTACATGCATGAGTCTCTGTGGGAACAGTTGCTGCCGATGTTGATTTTTGGAGGTGTTGAGATTGTCGGGAGTGGCCATGCAGACCTGTAGTATATAGTGAGTCATCGAACTAGTCCTTTGCAGGACAATCACTGCTGTGCTGATGGTCGCCACGGTCGGCTACATCCTTGTCACTGGGGCGGTTGTGGATAGTAGAGTCTGCAATATAGGGGCCCAAAAAATCGCTAATACTGATACTATTTTGGGTGTTCACTATGATAATGATAGTACAAAGGGCCCCAAAATAAAGGCCCTTAAAGTACATGATATTTGAGGTCAAGAAGCAGAGTGTTGTAGCGACCCAGGTTGGGCTTCTGGGTGGCGTGGCTTTCGAACCGCTCCTCGGCAGGACTTACCTTTGGTTAGTAGGGAATGGAAGAATGGTAGTAACGGTAGTTTTATTTTGTGCCCCATTCCTCCATTCCCTACTAACCAAAGGTAAGAGGAGGAGACATGATCGACTGCAACTTCTGCAAATTTTCTGGAACCACTGAGTGAGCAGCGGGGGCCTTTTTGCAACTAGTTAGCTGGCGCCCGAGATCTTGCACAAGGGCAGTCTACAATTGAAGCTAGGCATTCGACTCTGCTTGAGGTCGTTGCACCTGTTTTTGGCAGAACGCCAGTTTTATGCCGTTAAATGGAACCCTGAATATTGAAACTCTAACTAAGGTCCCCCCCCCCCCCCGATTATCCTACCATTCTTGTGGTGTCCGTAGGTCTGGGTTTCGCAAATATTAGCATTGGAAGTTTCTGCCGTAGGTGGCTCTAGTACTACATACCCACGGTTCAAAGAGATGGTGATCGAAGGTGTTTTGATATTGGAAATGTGCACAGAATTGCTTGGAGAAGCTGCATGCGTTTTTGCGGCCATTCCGGCCATATGACGGTCCTTGAGCGAAATCCCGCCACATGCCCGACGGCCTGTTTTGTTTTACCATACCTTTGTCTTGGACCAGAACCGGATTCCCCCGACGGCTGAGGTTCTTCAACTCAAGCAACACCTTGCTCTCAGAACTTCAGCACATTTCACCGGAGGAGCTGTCAGGGATCGGGTGCTGTGAGTCAGGAGTCGGAGTGACGCTTCAAGGTTCAGGGCTTCACCGAAGGCGATTGGCACTGGAAAATCCCATGCGCAGGTCTGAGTCCACATGCAAACAGGTTTGCTGTTTGGTTTTAGTCTTGTGTTTTTAGAGCCTCCTGCAGATATCTCTTGGGCCATCAGCCCTAATAGAATGCCAGCAGCTTCGACATGTGCTGCGTGATATTGCCCTGAGAAACTCTGAGAAACTGTGTTCATTGATGGAAGTGATGGAAGCCTGTTTTGGGATTGTCCGGGACCATCTGTTTGAGAATACATCACCCGAGGCCCCGAGGACCCTGCGAATTGTGGCGAAATCGACGATCCAGGAGAACCGCGAGGGAGTTGCGTGTGTGTTTGTGCATGTGGTACTTAGTGACTTAGTGTGTACATAGCTTGGTCATATCTTTCAGCTCCAAACTGGGCTTCCTGTGCAGGCATATTCCATTTCAGCGAACCTGGCTTCCATCCCCATCTTTTGCATCCTCATGCGCTACAACCTGCAGGAAGGTGTCCCGGCCGGCCACGAAGAACCGAAGCCACAACTTTCATGTTGCCAGGGTTCCAGGGCAGCATTCCTTCTGCGGTCGGTCTAGGGGTCTATAGGTACAGTAAAGTCTTCGATCGCCCGATTGGGATGGCGTGGTGAGCCGTGTTATCTTGGGCGCAGATGTGCTGCCCGGAAGCCCGCCGAGGCATGGGAATGAGCCGCTATTGGGCAAGTGCCATCGCCATCCTGGTTCCCTTTGTTCTGGCCATCGCCTTCTACTGCGGCCAGGGCTTTCACACCGCTGCGGCTTGTCGGCTCAGGATTTGGCCTCTGGGACTTTTTGGCTCCGTGCTGGCAGCTCTGTTGTGTCTCTCTTTCCCTGCCTCTTCCGCTCCGGCCAACCAGATCCCTGAAAGATCCGCACCCTTAATCCCGAAAGCTGAAGCCCCAAACCTAAATCCACAGTCTCGAGGTAAACCTGTCTGGTACCTTCGTTTCCGCCCTGGTGAATCTTATCGCGCCGAGCCTTTTTTTCCTTTGCCCCTTTGCTGCAGCGACAGCAGGATTCCAGGGTAGAGAGCATGAGTGCTCAAGGTTTTTTCAGGCAGATACGCATTTCAGACGAGAGCCAGGTCGGAGGCGAGAAAAAGTGAGACCAAAGAGAGAGTGTTAGTTCGTCGGGAACGGTTTAGACTACGGTTGAGCATGGCTCCTGTCGTACCTTCTTGCAAGTCATTTTCTGTGCACGGGATTTTGGTGGGAATGGAAGGTCCTTGTAGCAGGGCTGCATTTACTCCGGGGATTCTTGCTTGCCTCTCCCACATGCTGCAGACGTAAGTCTGCACAATGAGTAGTTTCACCTCTCAGACCTCGCACCACGAAACCCTGAACCCCTAAGCCGAGTCTCGCCTGGCTTGTCCGAGTTGTGAGAAGCGTAAACCCGTAAACCGCCTGGATTGTCCGAGTGTGAGCGCCGAAAAGCTGCAGAAGCCTCAGGCGCTTTGAGGCAGACAAGAGCTGCTCCTGAGGAGACAAAGCCGCTCTGCTCAGTCGATTCTAGAGAAGTTGTAGAGCATGAGGGGTACTACTATAGACTATAGTTTCCTTAGTATTTTTGTGTTTGTTCATATAAAACCACAGAGAGTATTCGGCATATTATGTATTTTGTTGTTCTAAGGCGGGATGTAGCATAGGGTTTTTTCCTACACGAGCATTTCGGTTCCCCACCGTGTCTTCCTGAAACTCCCACAGGTTGGCCGGGGCTGTCACATAGGGTCCCAGCGAGCTCCGTCGATAAACTCCTTATGTGCTACCATAAGCCGGATAGTTCGCAGTTGCGTGATTCTACAGGTATACTACATCATGTATCAGATACCATCAGGTGCCCCGAAAATGCAGCATGTGCTGCAAACCTTGGCTTTTGTGGTTTGCACGATTGAGTCCTCTGGACGCCCTGCAAGCCTAAGCAGGCGAAAGTGTTGAACCCTGCCCGACAAAGCACAAGAAGTCTACTCTGCACACGATCGGCCACCAAATCCCTTCAGCTCTATTAAGCTCTATTGCCCAAACCTTGTCGCAGCCTTGTGGAGCCGGCAAGCTCTGAGAACTCCAGGCGCAAAGACACAAGTCTTTCAAGTCCCATAACATCCCATAGCCCAACACAAAAAACGACAGCGAAACCCAACAGAACCTGTCAAGCCTGCTCGGTCCGTCCCTGGCACCTCCGCTCCTTTCCGGAGCCCAAGGTCCACGTCGCTTCGGCCATCCTGGTCGACCAATGCGTGCTTTGACTTGGGACGGGAGTTGTTGTAGTCGTGTAGGTTATGAGAGGTCTAGGTGCCTGGGGTAGCTTCCCGTGTACTTTCCCGGATGCACTGCAGTCGGCACTGCTGGTGCCGAGCCTCCACACGGAATAACTTTATGATACTGCATTATCGTACAACCACATACTCCAAAACACTTTATTCTTGCCGATGAGGCCTTAATCCCCCACTTTTATTAATGGAAGCTGGGGGGGGAGGACCCATAGCGTTTCCAATAAATATTTCCATTTACCGGGTTTGGGGAATGATGGAGAATGTAGGGGATATAGAGGGGTCGCCGGATGGGCTCGCCGGGGGTCAGCAGGTCGAGATTTCCATTTTCGGGCTTCCGGGCTCCATGTGCTATATTAATATACAGCCTTCGACATCAAAGCGCATAGGACCTTGGCAGGGTGGTTGCGGATTTGCTTGTCTTCCTCCATATTAATATTGAATATCCATGTCGGAATCAAATCTCGCGAGATCGGAGCATTGGCGTTATTCGGGCCAGGGGGGCACGGGAAACCATCGCAAACACATCGTGTCTCGATCCCGGCTTAGCACAGACAGACAGAGAGAGAGAGAGAGAGCGACATGGCTCATACGTGTCAGTGCCCGGCCGCGAATGCAGGCATTTTGCCTCGGGGCCATGCCCACATGCACATCCCGGCACATCGCATGTAGAATTTGGAGATGTCTAGATCATTGACACGTCCGATCTTGAGCCACACTTCTAGTTAACATCCGAAGCCACTATGACGGCAGGGGGGCAGGGTGTAGGTAAGCCACCATGTCGGCACGGGAATTCTAGGTAAAAAATGAAGCCACTATGACGGCAGGGGGGCAGGGTGTAGGTAAGCCACCATGTCGGCACGGGAATTCTAGGTATTTCTAGGTAAAAAATTGAAGCCACTATGACGGCATGGGGGCAGGGTAAGTAAGCCACTATGTCGGCAGGGGCTGTAATTTTTTTCTAGGCTTCCAGCATTGATTGTAAGATGGTCTGGGAATGTAGCTTCCGGAGCTATGGCGGGACTCGTCGGGTCTGTCCGCGACTCATTTTGATTCGGGCTCCTGCTTCGACTTCTTGGTTGCTCGTGCTCTGCCATTCCATGTGCTTCCGACTGAGTCAAATACCAGTACGTGGATTCTGCCGGCGCCCGTGGTCCACTGCTCGATTCGGAGAAGAAGGCGCCAAACCATTGAAGCATTGGATTCCGAAGCCTTGGCATTCCTGACCAGGCGAACAAGTGGGCATCCGAGAATCAGCATCCGCCCGCCGGGTGCTTGGCTTTGGCTTGCTGCCGGTGTCCCCTGGTCGGTGAGCCTTGAGGTCCCGGCAGACCTGAGAGAGAAAGCGGCGGCGAATGCTTTCGATTACGGCTTTGCACAGGTTGGCACAGTCGCGGCTGCAACCTGGGGCACCTCACTCAAGCCTGCTTGCGAGGCTGATGACCCTTTGCCCGTTTCCGATGTGGGCACTGAGGTGCACCTGCTTTGCAGATATCGGTTCGGGTTTGGGGTTTGTCCTTGTGCGGGTTGGCTGGTTTGGCAGGGTTCGGGGGGTCCGGGTTTTGTCCATGTGCTGTCTGTGCATTTCTGCCTGGGCCCCGAAGCCGGACCCTTGACTGTGCAGGCAGCTCCCTCGCATCCGGCTGAGGCGGGACGTTTGGTCGCTGCTGTTGATGCTTGCTCCCTCTTCGGCACAGGCTCGTGGTGTGATCGTGCCGGCCGAGCCAGAGGTGCGCCCCCCCTTTGGAGCCTTTCGTGATTTTTTTTTTGCAGTTAGTTTCTGCATGGGTTTTGTGTGCCAGGAGTCTTCATCGGCTGTGGCATCGGCTCCTGTTCCTCTCGCGGCCTCGGAGGCGCGGGGGTGGTCGTTGCGAGATCGGAGTGCACACACCAGTGATGGCGCCTCGAGAACCCCCCTAACATGCCCGAACCAACCCTAAACATCCCTACATCTCTCTGTGGCATCCAGGAGCCACCTGCGGATGGCTCGGCCGAGAGCAACAAGGCTGCTGGGTTCGGGGTTGTGGTGGGTTGGTTTCGGGATGTTTCGGGACTTTGTGGGGTTGCCGGGTTCAGTTGACCGGGGGCAGCAGGAACTGACCAACCATTCGGGAGAAGTTTGAGTCAGTGCATGTGTGCATCAGCCGGGGGTTGTGGGATGGTTGCATTCGGAGTTGGTGCATGTGCTGCACAGTCGCGACATGTGGTCCGAACAGGTTGTGATGATCAGAACATATCACACGTGGCTTATCGATCCTTTAGGTCGGAGGCATTTCAGCTAGAGTCCGAAATATATATAAATGCTGTAGGTAGGACTCAGCTGCATAAGCAAGATCCGATTGCGCGCCTGGCCATAGCTCACTTACCTGGCTAGTGTTGGCCGAGATCCAGCAACTTTTCTGAACTGGTGGGTCACTTACCTGGCTAGTGCTGGCGGAGATCCAGCCGCTCGGGGACTTACCTGGCTAGTGCTGGCCTCTGCCATGGACCAACGGTGGGTGGTGGGTCCGTTGCGAGAGGTTCCCGGGCGGTACGAGGTGTGGCAGCTGATCAACGGCATCGAGGTTTGCAGCTTCGGCATGCCTGTGGATGCCAGTCTCAGGAGTGGCCGGCCTTACACATTGCAAGTTTTTTTTTGCATGGATTGGTTTAGGTGTGCGCAGTAAGCACTCTGTATGCCTGCAAACGAACATCCCAGGTCTCGTCGCGGAGGCCGTGCGTCCGGGCTGTGATCGCCGGGTGCTCCGTGCGACTGCCATAGCCGTCGCGGTGGAGGAGACAGGCGAGGTGTGGCCGGAGAGCCCAGATAGCCCAGATGATGACAAGAAGAAGGACGACGACACCGACCCAGATGATGACAAGAAGAAGGACGATGACAGCGATGATCCCCCGGCCAAGAGGCTTAAGAAGGCCGATGACAGGAAGAAACAGAGCGATTAGTGATTTTGACCGGCGACTTTCTCGACTGGAGGCCAGGTCGGAGCGAACCGCAGATGAGATTCACGAGATCCATGAGCAGATCGGTCGCCTGCTGGAGATTGTAAACTCGTAGCTTAGCAGTGCCGTCGCCGTCGCATTTTTTTTAAAAGCTGTGTGTGTGGAGTACGCCCATATATGCACATATAGGCTAGGGGGGTCGCAGCCATGTATCCTAGGCATAGGCCGTTTCGATGCACACACCAAGCGAGGGGTGAGTTTCACGCCGCATTGCGATGGAAATCGATGGAAACATGTCGTTGCGTGCTCTTCGGGTTTCGGGTCCCCATCCTTCTAAGCCCCAAAGCCCCACAACCGAAGCCCTCCCCCCCTAAACTCCAAAGCCCCAAAGCCCAAAAGGAGCCCAACCCGAACCGCCCTCGCCTCCAAGCCTCCTTGGTACTCTTGCTCTGGTCAGGCTTCATCACATCCCACTTGCACGCCTGCGGCCTGGACCTTGGATTCCCTGAACTTGGCATGCCCTTCCTTGATGCTCCTTGCTATTCTCGCTTTGCCTTAGGTGCGTGATCATACGAGTGCGACGACTCCATCGGAGGCCTGCTCTTCTGTTGTGGCTCGTGCTTCCTGTTCCTTGAGCCCCTTCTGCTCTTGCTTCGCTGTTCCTCAGGTGTCTCGGGAAGCTCGGGGACCGCCTTCGCCGAATCGTGTGCCGCTTGCCTGGGCCTCGGGCGGCATTGTCCTCTCTCTCGCTGCAGTGCCCCTTTGTCAGGATGCCTTGGAGCCTGTCCTCACACCGATGCCGACTGCGGCTGCCTCGGAGGTTTGGCCCTGGACTTTGGCTGCACGGAACTTGCACCAGGTCTGTCGTGATGCTGATCATGACGAGGCCGTCCTTCTGCGATTGAAGCCCCGTGGAGTGTCTGTGTGTGTGTGTCCCTCGTCAGGCTGCATTGGAGCCTGTCGCGGTGCCATCGCAGCCGACTACGGCTGCCTCGGAGGTTTGGCCCTTGACTTTGGATGGTTGGAACTGTCGGCTTCCCCCGCTCTCCTTTGCACCAGGTCTGTCGTGATGCTGTTCATGACAAGGCCATCCTGCTACGATTGAAACCCCCTGGAGTGTGTGTGTGTGTGTGTGTGTGTGTGTGTGTGTGTGTGTGTGTGTGTGTGTGTGTGTGATAGTGCAGTCTCTTTTGTCAGGACTCGAAACCAGAGCTTCCAGAGCAGATACAAGAGGAGGCCATGACTGTTTGGGTCACGTGGGGTAGTGGGCTGTAGGGCTTTTGTTGTGTGCTGGCAGGACTCAGCGCGAGAGCTCGGAGAGCAGATGCGGGAGGCCATGACGGTTTAGGTCGCCTCGGGTTGTAGGCTTTGGGGCTTGGGGTTGGTGTGTGCTGGCAGGACTCAGCACACGACCTTGGGAAGCTTCTGAGACAACCCCCTACATCGAGTCCCGCCTGGGACTTGAACTGCTTGTGGCTGCGAACCCTTGTGCATTTCCGTATTGCTTGTGCATTTCCTTGTTGACGCAGCAATTCCCGTCAAGTTCGATCGTCTGCAGCAGAGATGAATCCAGTGGCGAAGATCGCCCGGGGAATGTGCCTCGACTATCTCCGCCGCAAAGGCATTGATCCCGAGGATACTGAAGACAGCGATGAAGCAGATGAGGCGCTCGAACACGTCAAGCAGACCCTTCGTCGTGCTGTCGAGGATCTCTCCCATGACGATGTGAAAGCAGCTGCACCGAAGCCGAGAAGCAGCATGTGCCACCGGGGTCCACCGACAAGGAGAAGAAAGAGAAGAAGGAGAAGAAGGTGAAGAAGAAGAAGAAGAAGAACCACAGCTGAGTGTGCAGGGTATCACCGAGCGGCAGAGCAGATCACAGCAGCACACAGCAGCAGCCCACTAGCACTGGCACCAGCAGCAGCAGCAGCAGCAACAGCAGCAGCAGCAACAACAGCGGCGACAGTAGATCTTCCGGTCGTGTTCGGTTGTGCAGATGGAGCTCAGATGGAGTGTGAAAAGAAGCGAGT